CACTTTTCACGTAGTACATCATTTGCTGAGCCCTCCCCTTATGCTCTGGTGCAAAAAGATATCCAGGAAGTCAGTGTTCCTTTTCTCATGGCCCAGCCCATAAGAGTCAGCTATTACCTAAGGAGCTAGTTATCAATTTTGGTTTCTTCTTGGATTTTAGTGGCAGAATATAATTAGAAACTCAAGATCTGGAGCAATAGATTTACTCAAATTGCTACTAGGGTAGTTACTGCTTCAGACCACTCAGAATGGACATGAGATAGATACATATATGTAATAGTGCGTGTACATACAGATGCAACACAGATTATATCATATATTTGACTCAAATAATCTAAGACTATACATGATTAACATATGAGTATCCACTGCTGTCTCACATTAGTCTAATACCACACGAGTTATATTCTAGTTTTCCTCTATTGTCTGTTCTTGACAGACTTTCTGCCGGTGATGGTGAGAGGAGAATGATTCCAATGACATCGGGGGAAGGCCGCGAGGAGAATCCACACAGGAGAACAAGGCACACACCAGGCCCATTTGCATGATGGCAAATATGGAACTACCCTGACTTCCGAGAGCCTCATGACCTGCTAGGGAAGGGGCAGAACCATGCAAAACAGCAGAACAAGGGTTTGGGGGCGTTGTAGCCAGAGAGCACATGCGGTCGGCGTTCAGGACCGCCAGGGTCACAGGTGAGATGGGGCCTCCTGGAGACAGGGCAGTTTCTAATGTCGCGAGAGAAACAGGTGGGCAGGGCGCAGCGGGAAGCCAAGTCCCAGTGGGAGGTGTGGCAGAGCACAAGCCCTGCAGGAGCGGCCGAGGCGCGGGCACCCGGCGACGACAACGGGGGTGGGGTAGCGGGATGCATTGGAAATGTAGCACAAATGGCGCAGGACAATGGGGTCCTGGGCTGGTTCGGAGCCTTAAATGACGTGTGAAGCTGGGATCAGCTACCCCGGTATTCCCGACAATTTTCTTTCCGGCTCTTATCTCCTCACCCAGCGGCGTACCATGGCTCAGGGCTGTTGCGAAGATGCAGAGAGATGGCACTGCACGGGGGCGCCAGCACATGTGCTGGCCTAAGAGCCAACTCGCCCCGTCTTCGTGTGTTACTAAAACCGTTCCTCCGTAACCATACGCGATTAAACCCACCACGTCTTGCATCCCCCAAGGAAAACCCTGACACGGCACCCTGACCTGCCATCTCTGGCTGCTGAGTTGCTCACTTGTAGTACTGTTACCTTGATCCAGACATATCTGTGCAGTTGTACTCGGTAAGCTAGCATATGAAGTCACTTAATTATGAATGCTTATGGGCAACTTGACCGAAACGAGTTGTAAAAGAAGCACGAATTGTTTCAAGAAAACCCTGAAGACTTCTTGGAAATGCGTTTTTCGTTGTTTGAGTCACGGGAGTCTCGGCTCGTCACCCCAGAAGACCTGGAGCAAATGGCGATCTTCAGCTCAGAGCTGCAGACCTCTGCCTCGCCCCCCTCTGGCTTCAAACGTGATTCTCCCTGCTCAGCCCTCCGCCGACATAGCTGGGATTCGACAGCGAGCCGCGCCACAACACAAAAACTTATTTCTTTGTAATTTTACAGAGACGGGGTTTCACTATGTCGGCCAGCTGGTCTTGAGCTCCTGACCTTCAAGTGCATCCACTCTCCTCGGCCTCTCCAAATGCTGGTGTAGCATGAGTGACGAGGAGCCACCCGCGCCGACCACCCAAGAAAGTTTGAGAGAACGCAATCTGCCTTATAAAAACTATGATGATTGCCGGGCGCGGGTGCTCAACCGTAATGCCCAGCACTTTGGGAGGCCGAGGACGGGCGATCAGAGGTCGAGCAGAGATCGACGACACCATCAATCCGGGCTCAACACGGGCTATGATAAAGCCCCTGCGGCCAGTGTCGATGCGTTCTCTACTAAAAAATACAAAAAACTAAGCCGCACGCGCGCATGGCAGGCGCGCCCTGTTGTCCCAGCAGCTCCGGGAGGTCCTGAGGGCAGGAATAGACATACACCAGACGAGAGCGGAGGCTTTACGCTGAGCGAGGATCCAGCCCACTGCCACTCCAGCCGGGCGACCAGAGCGAGAGCTCCGACTCAAAAAAAAAAAAAATAAATCTACGGAATTAGGCAGACAAAGTGTGAGAACTCCAAGAGGAAGAAACGGAAAAAGGAGGATTCACACTGAGGATTCTGCAGTTGTCCTGCTTTGCCAGGGTTTGTGGGTCCCGCTGCAATTCAGAGAAACTGCAACTGGGGTCGCAGACAGTGCAATACGTGTGCAGTTTACACCTGAGAGACTGTGCGGACCAGTCTTGCAGAAGCACCCAAGCCTGGCATCGAGAGATTGGTGAATGGATGTACATTTCTGTGTTTAAAATAGAACGTTTAAAGGGTAGCTATATCCTGTATTATGACTCCCACTGTTGATTACCCAGCCAAATACGGTTTCCCTGTAGTCCAGAAAACAGAGTTTCTCCACGGTCGGTGTTCACTGTGACAATATCCTCGCCTCCCCTTGCTGGGATTCCAGCCCCGTCCGTCTGGCTCCCTTCTGCATTTGCGAGGCCCCACTGTGCGTTACTGGATGAGCTGGGACGAGCGCCCAGGCCTGCTGGCTCCCAGTTCCGTTCTTGCAGCGAAATCAGAGGGTGGTGAGCAGGGTCTGTGGAACCAGCCTGCTGGGAGGAGACTCCCGGCTCTTCCACTACAACTTGGGCGTGTGCCCCGTTTTCTTGCCTGTGAAATGGGGGTCGTGCTGTTCCCTACCTCACAGAGTTGTTCTGAAGCTTCGGTGAATGTGTCTGTGGAAAGTGCCTGGAGTGCTCCCCGAGGGTCAGCTCTCAGCTCGGACTCTCCCCACCCCGCACCCGCAGGGCAGGCCTTGGGCCTTTTGCCTCACGCGTGGAGGCCTCAGAGCCGTCCCGTCTGCACCGCGGTGAGAATCAGCCTCCGCCGCGGCAAGTGGGTTCTGGTTCTGCCAGAGGAACTAGAACGGGGGGTGGCGTGTGGACATGGCTGGCCAACGGGCAAACGAACTCTGCTGGTCACGCAGCGCCCACCTCCCAGCCTCCTCACACCGGGACCCGCCTCTTTGGCCGGCAGAAGCGCGTGTCCCCCCATCCCCAGGCCGTCGTTCCTGCCCCGGCCCCTCCGCCCGTGCCCACAGGCAGAGGCTGGTGGGGTGACCTCCTGTGCTGTGGTCTGTCTCTTCCAGTGGTTTCCAGCGACAGTGACAGTGACTCGGATCTCAGCTCCTCCAGCCTAGAGGACAGACTCCCCCCCGCTGGGGTCAGGGGCCCGAAAGGTGACAGACCCAGGAGGGAGTCAGGTAAGACGGGGAGTCAAATGCTGCTTATTGGCTGGGTGCAGTGCACTCCGGCCTGGGCAACAAGAGCGAAACTCCGTCTCAAAAAAAGAAAAAAGAAAAGAAATGAAACTATTAGGCTGGGCACAGTGGCTTATGTCTGTAATCCCAGCACTTCAGGAGGCCGAGGTGAGCGGATCGTGAGGTCTTGAGACCATCCTGCCCAACATGGTGAAGCCCCGCCTCCACTAAAAATAAGAAAATTAGCCGGGCGCGGTGGCGGGCGCCTGTAACCCCAGCTACTTGGGAGGCTGAGGCAGGAGAATCGCCTCAGTCTGGGAGGTGGAGGTGGCAGTGAGCCGAGACCGCGCCACTGCACTCCAGCCTGGGGACAGAGCGAGACTCTGTCTCAAAAAAAAAAAAAAGTGCTGCTTATTTCCAAGGCCCCAGGCACAGAGTAGCTTTGCTGCACCTCGGATTGCTGCTTCCCAGCGGGTGTCCACGGAGTTCTTCTACATCTGGAAGGAGAAGCGGGCCTAGGGACGGGACAACCAGGCTCTTTGAGGCTCCTCTGTACACACAGTGGGGGGAGGAGAGCAGGGAAGGGACAGGAGCCAGGGCCAGCCAGGCCACCGCACGCCCTTGGCTCACACACCTGGGACTCCTCCCGCGCCCACCTGTGAGCGTTCCCCAGCTGAGAGTTCATCTCCTGAATCGTGAGAGCTGAGAAAATCAGGTACAGAACTCCCTGCACTAGGTCAGTCCTGCCATGAAACCACCGTGGGGTCCCCAGGACCTGCTGCGACCTCTGGGCCTGCATTTCCTTCTCATTAGCAAGTGAGACAGAACGGGTGGCCTCCAAAGCGCCTTCTGACTTGGATATCCCTGAGCTCACCCTCTGGGACCTGCCGTATGAAAGAGAGTTAACTGGGGCATTGAGACTGGTGCAGAGAAGGCCTGGGAGAGGCAAGGAAAGACATTTTCCTGTCCTTCAAACGCACGAAGGACTTCTGGGAAAAGGGCTTCAGTCAGTCACTCCACAGGTCAGAACTGGGATCCTCGACAGAAATTTCAGGGAGGCCAATTTTAGTACCTAAGAAGAAAGGGTTCTGTAATAACTGCCCCAAACAGGAATGAAATGCCTTGGGGGTCCTGTCTTGGGACCAAGACTGGGTTGGGAATGGAAGTTTGAGCTAAATCAGAGCCGGCAAAGGCCTGGCACACGTACCAGCACCCTCCACTCCCGTGACCATGGCAGACATTACTAGGTGCTCGTGATACTCTTTCCACAGAGCCCTGATCCGTCACCGTGCAGACATTACTAGGTGCTCGTGATACAGAGCCCTGATCCGTCACCGTGCAGACATTACTAGGTGCTCGTGATACTCTTTCCACAGAGCCCTGATCCGTCACTGTGCAGACATTACTAGGTGCTCGTGATACTCTTTCCACAGAGCCCTGGTCCGTCACCATGCAGACATTACTAGGTGCTCGTGATACAGAGTCCTGAGCCATCACCATGCAGACATTACTAGGTGCTCGTGATACTCTTTCCACAGAGCCCTGATGTGCCCTCCGAATCATCCTCAGTGCAGTTTTCTAAGTGGCCAATATCAGTAGGTAGAGATGGTGCAAGAGATGAAAAGTGTCCCCGGACCAGTGACTTCCTAGGCCCCTCAGGCTGAAGATTCTAGAGATTTAGAAGAGTATAAAGGAAACTTACCTGCCAGCCTCGGTTTCCAGGGCAGGCTTTATACTCCCCTCTGCCTCCCACCGCGGGCTCTTGTGCCCTCGCTCCACACCCACCCTCAGCTCTAACGAAGCAGGACTGGGAGACAGCGAAGCAGCGGGCTCCACGTCTGCTCTCTTGGCCAGGCCAGGACCAGAAACCATGTTTGAGTGAAGACCCTTTAGCGAGTTAAGGCAGCAGTCAACATCTCTCTCTTATGAGGTTAACCGAAATACATATCAACCCCCGCCCATTCCGTGATCATTGTGGATTTTCAAGTTGGTGACGTGTGACTTAGTGAAACGACCTGCAGGCCCGTTCTTGGACCCAACAGCAGCGGTCAGAGGGTGGGGTCATGCCAGAGCCTGGCAGCCGTTTGGGTGGGGTGGGGGGCAGACATCCCATGGAGACCCACCACAGTTCCGAAAGAGGAACTGGACTGAGACCACCCTGTCTCAGTTTGAGATCCACAGGCCCACACGTGGTCTCCCACAGGTGGCAGTGTGGAGGCCCCCAGGATGGGGTTCACGCGCCCGCCGGGCCACCTCTCGGGGAGCCAGAGCAGCCTGGCCAGTGAGATGGGGACAGGCTCTGCCGACCTGCAGGGGGGGACCCTACCCCAGGCCGACCCGAAGGGCCCCGGTGAGTATCCAGCTGCTGTCTTCTCCCCTCTCCTGCCCCCGCGGCCACGTCCTCTCTCACTCACTCCTTCCAAACTGGAGACTGGTTGGTGACATTTTCAATTCTGCATGTTTACCAAGCACCGTGCGGGGAACCAGGTGAGCCAGACCCCGTCCCTGCCTGCAAGGAACAGAGAGAGGGGCCCGGAATGAGAACGGTAACCATCCCTAGCTGCTCTCACTAATTACAGCAGTGGTCACCATCCTCCGCTGTGTAAAACGTGCCGGGCTCCTCTGGGCCAAACCTTCGTTCTGTTGGCAGAGTGGCTGGGAGGCTTATTGTCCCCATTTGATGGGTGTAGAAACCAAGGCACAGAGAGAGTGCAGGGAGAATCGGGGGCTCCCACCCTGCCCTGTGCCTCTGGACCCAGTCCTGGCTGGCCCGGGAACATCCTGTGGCGGGGGTGGGAGGCTTCTTAAACTAAAGCCAGAGAGAGCTGCGCAGGTGCAGGATCAGCCCTGTCTCCTTCAAGAAGGAAGCTCCGGGCAGGTTGGGCCCCTCCCTGGCCAGAGGATTCATGGGTCCACGTGTGCACCAGGGCGGCAGCTGATCTCCGTCCCCGGAGGTGGAGGGCACCTGGCAGCCCCCCGCAGGAGCGCCTGCCCCACCCCTCTCCTTCCCCACTTGATGGTTCCCCAGGAGCTGCAGAGCATCCGGGAGGCATCTGTGGCCGCAGAGCGGACCCTGCCCCCTCCCTCTGGCCTCCTGGAGGTCCTCCACAGAGGACGGTGTGGAATCCGGCAGCCCTGAGTTCTTGTCCCAGCCCTGCCACCCACAGCCACGTGACCTTGAGCAGACTCCCCAGGTTGAACCATATGAAATTGCATTTTAAAAAAATTTTTTGAGACAGGATCTCATGCTGTTGCCCAGGCTGGAGTGCACTGGTGTGACCACAGTTCACTGCAGCCTCGACCTCCTGGGCTCAAGAGGTTCTCCTGCCTCAGCCTGCCAAGTAGCTAGGACTGTTGGCAAGTGCCGCCAGGCCCGGCTAATTGTTTTGTATTTTTCAAAGGGACGGGGTCTCCCTATGTTGCCCAGGCTGCTCTTGAACTCCTGGGCTCAAACAGTCCTCCCACCTTGGCCTCCCAAAGTGTTGGGATTACAGGCAAGAGCCACTGCGCCCAATTGAAATTCCGTTTTTCTGGTTCAAAAACGTGAAATATCAGTAGTTCGATATGGTTCGCCCTTAGGTTTGATCTCTGCGCCCAGTTCTGTTATCAGTATGGTGTCCTTCGCAGGGTTCTGGGGAGAGAAAAGTCAGTGTCATGTGGACGGCCTTCCCCTAGGAGGTCCTCAGTAAACGTCCGGTAATAAAGGGGGAAGCCGTGTGGCCTAGCGCAGAGAGGGGGTTCCTGGGCTTAAGAAACAATGTGGGGGGCCGGGCGCGGTGGCTCAAGCCTGTAATCCCAGCACTTTGGGAGGCCGAGACGGGCGGATCATGAGGTCAGGAGATCGAGACCATCCTGGCTAACACGGTGAAACCCTGTCTCTACTAAAAAAAAAAAAAATACAAAAACTAGCCGGGCGAGGTGGCGAGCACCTGTAGTCCCAGCTACTCAGGAGAATGGCGTGAACCCGGGAGGCGGAGCTTGCAGTGAGCTGAGATCCGGCCACTGCACTCCAGCCTGGGCAACAGAGCGAGACTCTGTCTCAAAAAAAAAAAAAAGAAACAATGTGGGAAGGATGGGCGTGGAGGAGGATTTTCTATCTCCCTGCCCATTTGCTCCTTGCGGCATCCTGAGGTCGCCACGTTGGCCACCTGGGTTAGGAGGGGGCCTGAAGCCCAGAGGGGCAGGTGACTTTCCTGCCATCACACAGCAGAGCAGAGCGGCGCTGGTCTCGAGTTCGGGCTCAGGCACGGGTGTTGTCAGCAGAAGGCTGCCTTCCCCTCCAGCCCCTCCGTCTCATTCCCAAAGGCCGGGCTGTCACTGGGGCGGAAGGGACTCCACCCCTGCTCACCCTGCGGTGGCCACTTCTCTCCTCCAAAGGTAAAAGACACACCTGGACGAGCCCCCAGTGCTGACGCGGCTCCAGCTGCCGGGGCTGAGGCGTTTGGTGCCTGGAACAGACTTCCCTGCGGAGGATTCGTGCCAGACCCTGCCCGGCTCCCACGACCGGTCCTTGTGCCCTCGCCAGCCACCCTGTTGGCCATGACTCAACAAACCAGTGTTGGGAGCTGTCTGCCTCCCCGACCCAGTGCCTTTCTGTGCCGCTTCTCTCCCGGGGAGCTGTCTGCATCCGCCGCCCCCTCCAACCACCGCCCTCAGCCCCTGACCTTATTTATTGCCCTCCCCTCCCACACCCCCAACCTACCTTGTGGTGATTTTAAGTTTGCGTGTGTCTTGGGTTGGGCTGGGGGCTTCCCACACGCAGTGTCCGAGCGGCCGCCTGGCGGGGCTTTCTCGTTGCTGTATTAATGGAAGACGAAATGCTCACGGCCTCTGAAGCTGCGTGTGGTCCCTTAGAGGCAAGCCCTGGAACCAGAGCAGTGAGCGTGGGATTCACCCACCCTCTCCCTCTCCCTTCAGCTCTGGGAGGCAGGCGCAGCGCCCCCTCCCATGGGCTGGCCCAGGACCGCAGGCGAAACCTGGCTCTGGTTTCTTTGGTTTTTGGATGTTTGTTTGTTTTTGAGACAGAGTCTCGCTCTGTTGCCCAGGCTGGAGTGCAGTGGCGCAATCTAGGTTCCCTGCAACCTCCGCATCCCAGGTTCAAGCGATTCTCTCACCTCGGCCTCCTGAGTAGCTGGGATTACAGGTGCCCGCCACCACACCCAGTTCATTTTTATAGTTTTAGAAGGGATGGGGTTTCTCCATGTTGGCCAGGCTGGTCTTGAACTCCTGGTGTCAAGTGATCCACCCGCCTCGGCCTCCTGAAGTGCTGGGATGACAGGTGTGAGCCACCGCGCCCAGCCCTGTTAGGTTTCTTTGAATCCCCTCATGGCCTGCCTGGTTTTTGCTCAGCCTGTCTTCAGCTTGAGGAGCTGGGAAGCTCCGGTGGACGCTGTGAACTCACTCACTGAAGAGCAGCCTTCAGGTGCATCCCCGGCCAGGGCACGTGCCTCCCTCCACCATGAATTCACTTCTCTTCAGGGGGTTTGGCTTGGCATGAAAATACTTCATTCAGAGTATGGCCAAATGCTTCTGGAAAACCCTTCCCTGAAGAGAGAGAACGTACATGTGTGTGTGTGTGTGTGTGTGTGTGTGTGTGTGTGGTCGGTGTTCACACCCTCCCATCCTTCCTGCCTCCTGCCCCAAACCCTGGGTCCCTGGGTCTGGAAGGGCCTCCTCTCCAAACTGGGAGCTCCTGGGCCCCCACCATTCACTTTTTGTCCTAGCTGCTGGCAAATAGTAAAGAAACTCACTTTCCCTGTGGCACGTTATGCTTCAGAATTAAAACAAGGAAGATTAACATTTGCATTGAGCCACTGTGTTGATCAAAAGACTGTGATTGCCTGTGTTTCCGAGACGCATCAGTGGAAAAAACTGCGGTGCCTTGACTTGCTGGAACACTTCCTAAGCCGCCGTGAAAGGAGGGGCCAGATCTGTGTGTTCATGCAGCTCACACACGTGATGCTGAACAGATAAGGCCATCTACACACAAATAATCAGAATGAGTTCTACAAACGTACATGTACGTACGTAAAAGTGTCTTTTAAATGGACAAGCACTTCTGCTTACGTGTGGTGCACTGAATATATTCATGTTCTCCTCTGTCCCTCAAAACCCCACTAGAATGACATAAAGGAATGAAAGTGGCATAAACCACGAACACAAAAAGAAAAGGAGAGAAGATGACAGCGAATGACAGATATGTGAGGAGCTCTGGAAGCCGTAACAGTAAGATTTGCTTAGTGTCAACCCCAAAATGTCTACAAAGAAGGAAGCCAAAAGCACGAACAAGCACGAACAAGCCCATTTGCTCTGCAGAATCGCCCAAATGCACAGAACTAGGAGGGGCCAGGTGTCCCGAAGGTGGAAGTTCAGGGTGGGTCTGAGGATTGTCTTGACTGAAAGAAGTGTTTACACCTGCAGGTCCCCCTCTCTCGGCCTGGTGACTGCCCTTCTCTGACCGTGGTAGGAGACAGGTTTACTGCCGGCCAAGGGTGATCTGAAAAGATTCTGGATTGGGGACCCCAAGGGTAGCCAAAGGCTGGGGCAAGGTGCCTTACTGAAATCAGCATGTAAATGGAGAAGCCCTAATTCCCCACTCAAATCCGTGATGGAGGCTGATAAAAGCCAGGCCTAGTCCCCATCCATCCACCCCCAAGGCAGGACATTTATTATTTTGAGACAGAGTTTCGCTCTTGTCGCCCAGGCTGGTGTGCAATGGCACGATCTTGGCTCACTGCAACCTCCGCCTCCCGGGTTCGAGCGATTCCCCTGCCTCAGCCTCCCAAGTAGCTGGGATTACAGGCATGTGCCACGGGCTAATTTTGTATTTTTAGTAGAAATGGGGTTTCTCCATGTTGGTCAGGCCAGTCTCGAACTCCTGACCTTGTGATCCACCCGCCTCAGCCTCCCAAAGTGCTGGGATTACAGGCGTGAGCCTCAGCGCCCGGCTGGCAGGACATTATTGAATTTCTGTCTGGGAAACTGATCAAAGAGAACAGATGGACAAGTCCTGACACTGGGGGTTCCCCAAACAGTGGGTCTCTGCCCAGTCCACTGTGAGACCTCCGGTCCACAAGCCTCACCCACAGTTCAGTGCTGCCTAGTAGCTTTGCTGTGTTTCACTCATAGTGGGGACAGCCAAGGGCATCTGACGTCTGATGAAATCCAGTAACTGAAAATACAGAGACTCCAGTACACAGGAAAAAGGAGTCAGAGGAAAATCCCCGGAAGGAGTGCACCTATTAAACGAGAAAAGAATGTTATTTTTTAAAGGCAGTGTTAAAATTCTTGAACATTAAAAATATAACAGCAGGAATTTAAAACGCATGAGAAGGGATGGAAGAGGAGAGAAATCTCCGAGAGCAAAATGCATAAACGCAAAAAGAGGGAGAAGTCAAGAATACTGGAAAACAACAAGGCCAGCTCCACACAGAAGATCCATCAAACAGGAATTTCAACCCGAGACACAGAAAACAGAGGAGAGGAGATGGTTGAAGAAATGACACAGAATCCCTCCCAGCACTGAAGGGAATGGGCGTCCACAGAGAACCCTGCAAGTGCTCAGCACAGGGACACGAGGCCTCCGTACCGGTGTGGCCCCGGCCACCATCCCGAGCAGCAGTTTGGTGATGCCCAGCAGGCGAAGGTGGGCGCAGCCTGCAGCCGTCCCTGAGGTCTTGCTGAAACACAGATGCTCACTCGCCAGCTCTGGGGTGGGACCCGAGTGTGCACATCTAACAGGCTTGCAGGTGACACATGGTTGAAGGGCCACACCTTGAGTAGCATTGGAACCTTGGTCCCGGAGTAGCACTGGTGCACTGGTCCCAGAGGAGCGCTGGAGCCCTGGTCCCGGAGGAGCACCGGAGCCTTGGTCCCGGAGGAGCGCTGGAACCTTGGTCCCGGAGTAGCACTGGCACACTGGTCCCAGCACTTTGGGAGCCTGATGCAGGCAGATGACTCGAGCCCAGGAGTTCGAGACCAGTCTGCGCAATGTGGCAAGACCCCATCTCTACCAAATATACCAAAAAATTAGCCAGGCACAGTGGCCCACACCTGTAGTTCAAGCTACTAGGGAAGCTGAGGTAGGAGGATAGCTTGAGCCTGGGAGGTCGAGGCTGCAGTGAACCATGATCATGCCGCTGTACTCTAGCCTGAGTGACAGAGTCAGAACTTGTCTTTAAAAAAAAATACCCAAGAGGAATTGTTGGATCGTGTGGTAATTGTAGGTTGGCTTGTTTTTAGGACCATAGTCCACTGAGGCTGTACCACTTCACACTCCCACCAGCGATACACAAGGGTCTGCCTTTCATTTGAACACAGGACGCCATCCTCCTGAGCCCCGCACTGGCCACCAGCACCATCCCCTGCCCCAGGAGCTTCAGCTGTTCCCGTGATGCTGGCCGCATGGGCATGCACCCTGGGCAAGCAGGCAGGGCCCTGGGCTCGGCCCAGTGATCTGCTGTCGCCATCTGGAAATGCTTCGTTTCGTTGAATAAAGGTCCCCCTGTTTTCATTTTGCACCAGGCCCTGTGATCGTAGAGCGGGCCCTGCCTGGCCCGGCTGTCTTTCTGGGCACAGACTCTGTAAGTGCAGCTAGATCAACGGTCCAGGCTGACCGGAATGAGTCGTCTGACTCTCAGAGGGGCCACCTGGGGAGGTGGCAGGAGTGCCTGACCGGGCGTCTGGGACACAGGTTCACATCCTGGCTGGCCCTGCCTCGAGCCCTCCGTGTTTGTCACTCCCCGCCTGTGAGATGAGAGAGTCCCTCACTGTGTTCCCCAGTGGAGAGAGAAGCCTCCTATGCAGGATGACCGGCTGGAGGGCCCAGCTGTTGAAGGTACTGAGCAGAAGTGGCCCTCGCCAGGGGAGATGGACGGCCCACAGACGCACACACACGTGTGCATACACTAGTATGTACAGACACAGAAAGCTTCACCTGTTTACAGAATACGGAGGAGGCCGGGCGCAGTGGCTCTTGCCTGTAATCCCAGCACTTTGGGAGGCCAAGGCAGGAGTATCACCTGAGCCCAGGAGTTCGAGACCAGCCTGGGCAATATGGGGAGATGCCATCTCCAGAAAAATAAAAATATAGCCAGACGTGGTGGTGCATGCCTGTAGTACCAGCTACACAGGAGGCTGAGAAGGGAGGATCATTGAGCCCAAGAGTTGGAGGCTGCAGTGAGCTGTGACTGTGCACCTGCATTTCAGCCTGACTGACAGAGCAACACCCTGTCTCAAATATATGCGGAGAGCCTGTGAGTTTAAATTGCTCATCCAAGTGCCAGCAAATGCGCTTCTGCACAGGGGAGGGATGAGACCAAAGGAAAACCTGGCACTAGCATTGCCCGGAGCATGTGAGGAGAAGGACCTCGCCAGGCCATGTGTGAAGAGCACTGGCAGGGCCCCTGCCACGGCTGAGTCCCGGCGTCCCCTGCAGAGCAGGGCCTTGATGCTCCAGTTTCCTGTCCCTTTCCTCTCCTCTGCAAACGGTCAGGGCTCTGACCTGCAGCGCCCGGCGCCACCCCTGGGGCTGTGTCTTGTGCAGAAAGCACAGCAGAGCCTGCCTCTCCCAACCCCACAGTACCGCGGGAGCAGACAGGCGGGAGGAGGAGGGGGTGGGAGCTCAGAGAGCCTTGGGAGCCCCCGACAAGGTGCCCCCGGTATCCACCAAGACGGGCCGAAGCTCTGAGCCTTTGATGCAGACCCCAGGATGTCTGCAGCTTCTTCAGTGCCAATTACCAGAAAATAATTCAGCGTGCTCACCCCCTGCCTCTCAGCGGCTGCTCTTTGGAGACATTTTAAGTCTGACTGTTCCCCTCCCTCCTTCCCGTCTGCCATCGCCTCCACCTCTGCCCAGGCTCTTTCGTGGGGAAAAGGGAACCAAAAGCTGGGCCGTGTCATCCCTGTCCCCAAAGCAGAGACCCGCCCAGATCAGTCGCTGCACCTCCTTCCCGGCTCTGCTTCCAGAGTGGTGGGGCAAGGCGGGGTCCCTAGAGCCGGCTCCCGAAGGCAGAAGTCAAGGCTTATTCACCTTTGGGTCCCTGGTTAGCTGTCGAGAAATATTGCTGGATCAATGGATGCACGGACGCATGGGCAGATGGAGGGGTAGGGGGTGGGTCAGTGGGTGGTGGAGGGGTGAGGAAGGTGGGGGGATGGGTGGATGGCAGATGAGTGAGGGGATGGATGGAGGGATGGATGAATGAGGGACAGGTGAGGAGATGGATGGGTGAGTGGGTGGAGGAGTGGGGGATGGGTAGGACGATGTTTGAGTGGGGAGTGGGTGGGGGAAGGATGGGTGGGGGATGGGTTAGCGGATGGATGGGTTGGGGAAGGATGGGTGGGGGCATCGGGGGTGGTTGGATGGATGATGATTGGGTGGGGGATGGTGGGGGTGGGTGGGGGGCTGGGGGATAGATGGGAGGATGGGTGATGGACAGACTAATGGAGCACTGGACAGACGGATGGAGAGACAGGTGCATAGATATTCTGCAGGGCCCAATGTGCTGAAGGACGTCTGAGAGGATGGACACGTGAGCAGAGGATGGACCGCTGTCCTGATGGGAGGAAGGATGTGTGGATGGATGGAAACACTGCAGGCCCAGGGCCCGTGTGCTCTGCATCCCTAGGGAGGGGCCTGCAGACCAGGAGCCCCAACCCACAGTTCCCACAAGCTGTGGGTCCTCGGCCAGGGGCGCTGAATTCAAAGTTGCCACAGGAATCCTGGGCAGAGCAGCTCTTGAAGCCCCACCAGCCACTGGGGACTTGGTCTTCTGGGCCTCAGTTAGTGCCCTGCCTGGGGACCA